CCCCCCCCCCGTCGTTCTCCCTCTCTCTCACAGGCATGGATAAGATTTTGCAGTCTATGGGCAGCCGGGACGGGGGCATCAGCGTCACCAACGACGGAGCAACGATTCTCCGGGCGATCCACGTCGACAACGCCGCGGCGAAGGTGTTGGTGAACATCGCAAAAACCCAGGCGAGCACAAAAACAACACCACCACCTAGGACCGAAACCCCTTTTTCTTGTTTTCTGGCATTTGTATTCCACCATTGGACTTGATTACACTTTGCAAGAGAACAACATGGAAATTTTACGTACTTCGAAGTACAGCACTTGTAATGTGTGTGTGTGTGTGTTTTTTTTTTCTGGAAGTTAATCCTTTAAACACCGTTTTGTTCTTGTCGTCTTCTGTTGCCCCCTCTCCCCGCGTTCTCTCGTGTGTGTAAACTGACCACGTGAGCGACCAAAACAAAAACGTTCTGCGCGCTCACGTTGTTTGTTTGTTGTTGTTTTGTTTTGACAGGACGACGAGGTTGGCGATGGCACGACGAGCGTCACCGTCCTTTGCGGGGAGCTACTCAGGGAGGCGGAGAAGCTCGTGAACCAACGCCTGCACCCGCAGGTACGTCTGTCCTTCGTCTGGGCTGGTCTGGTTCGTTGGTACTTCAGCTTTTCCATCGTGTACAGTTTATTTGATGCTGTGAGCGTTCATTTAAAGTGGCGCACAAAAAACGAGGTTTTTGAGTGCACACCTGTCTGTGAGCGCTAATATTTAGAGTGATGCAAACAGAAAACCCCCCAAATTTATGGAGTGTACACCTGGGTCCGCCTGTCTGCCTCGTCTCCCTCTCTCTTTGTTTTCCTCACTACGGGTAGTATTTTGAATTTTGTGGTTTAAGCTCTAGGATTATGCTTGTCCGAAGGCGCGCTGAATCTTCGAAGAGGCGACGATGCGTGATGTTGCTGCTGTTTTCGCTGCCTGCCTGGTGCTGCTATTTTTGCTCTTGTTGACTGGTGCTTTGGCCTGGGTGCGATTGTCGTGGTGATGGCGATGGTTTTGCACCTCCGTGATTATATCATAGGACGATTCGAGAGTGAGTGTTGTGGATAGCAAGGAACCAAAAGATGAAGCTTTTGGCGCTAGGCATCGGCTCGTGCTAACAGTCTCAAAGCCCGGCTGGGTGTGTCCGTCCAGACCCCCACCTCGTCCTTCATACGAAGGTCTTCACGCCTTGCCGATCAAGTGGTTAAGGACTCCATGCGATGTCCATACTTCCTTGAGCGACTTCGACCGCGCCAACCCGACTGACCAATGTCAAGTCCCCAGTCTCTCATACAAACCATGTGTGTTTCGTTGTTTTGTGGCTGGTGTTTTTTTTCCTCATGTGTTTACGTTGTTTCGTGTTCGGTGTCTTTTTTTTTGTCCCCGTGTGCAGACGATCATCCAAGGGTGGCGATTGGCGACGGCGGCGGCCCGGAGAGTACTCGCCGACAGCGCGGAGGACAACGGGAAGGACGACGTAAAGTTCCGAGATGACCTCTACCACATCGCGAAGTGCGTACCGTAGGGACAGGCAGCCATTCACTCGTTTCAGGAAATGTCCTCGGCGGGCTCGTGTGTTGCTTTTTGCGGCGTTTTCTTAGTTCTTGGGCGTTTGATTTACTCATCATGTTACCATCCGACAATGTGGGGGTTACGGCGTGAAATTCTAGCGAAGTACCCTGGTTTGCGTTTGTCCATATCATCTCTACCGCATCCTGATCGTTGTTGAAACGCTCACTTGTTTTTTTGTTGTCTTGGATATGTTTCTGTCGTCTTTATCCTCCGCCCGTCGTTTTGTTTGTGTGAACTCTGTCCACTCCCAGGACGACGTTAAGCTCCAAGCTGCTAACGCACGAAAAGGACCATTTCGCGGAGCTTGCCGTGAACGCGGTGCTCAGGCTCAAGGGGTCGGGTAACTTGGACTACATCCAGATCATCAAGATGCCGGGGGGTTCGCTGAAGGAGTCTTACCTTGAAGAGGGGTGAGTTTTGGTGAAATGGCTAAGAAACTGTATCGGCACATTCACAGGTGTTGCGGTGACGGCGGTGGTGGGAATCTGATGCGGTTGTTGTTGTTGTCGGTTGTTACGGTGATGATGTCGGATGCCTTCGTTGCTGCCTTTGTTGGCGCTATAGTTATTGCCCATTGGATGTCCTTTTATTTTTTGCCGGATTTCTGTCCGCAGCTAAGTGTGAGGGTTGACATGCTTCGCACTCGTCTATCGTGCACGTTGTTCGTGCATTCAGTGCTCTTTGCCGACCTCTCGGGAACCATGTGGTCAACGGACCACAGCCTTCAGCAAGTAAGATTCCTTCTTCAGCATCTGTACACACACGCACACACCGCTATGCCTACTTCCTTTTGCGTTCCGTTGTGTGACGTGGTGGACGCTGCTGCTCAACCCCCAGGTTTATCTTAGACAAGAAGATCGGGGTGGGACAGCCGAAGGTCGTCGAGAACGCCAAGATCCTGATCGCCAACACCGCCATGGACACGGACAAAATCAAGATCTACGGCTCCCGGGTCAGGGTCGACTCAATGAACAAGGCAAGAGGGGGGAGGGGGGGGGGGG